AACTGTAAGCAAAAAATGATTTACACGTCTGTCAGTGGATTATTACTAGGTGAAATTCTGATAAATAAAGCCTGCCGGTATACCAGCGAAGTAATTCGTGTGACAAATAGAAAAAGCTCTTGTGTTCACATGGTTACTGGGTCCGACACTAACGGCTCGTTTTCTTGCGGGGAGGAATTCACTCACCAAAACATTTGTTCCGTGAAAGAACATAAATTGATGAACCTCATTTTTTAATCATAAGCAGAACGAAACAGATTGCACAGTACTCGACGTAATAAAAATCTATCGATTTATTCATGCAGATGGCAGAAGAACTGCTCCTTAAGCCCGTAACTTGTCCTGTCGAATGTGCAAATACATCGCTCCATCAAACTATGCTCCCGCAAAAAGTACGAATTGAGCGTGAGTTGCCGAAAAGTCAGGAGGATAGATGTCCTCCTCCTCTGGTCATCAGTCGCTCCGGTCGTTCTGTGACCCTGGAAACAAGAAGGTGGACACCCAAATCCGGTCAGGTATGTCCTCGTTTGTCGGAAGGAAACATTTAATGCAAGAATAGCGGGGACTTACATAAAAAGATGTGATTTTATTTGTTTCTGTCTTTGATAATGATGTCGGTGGTGTCAAGCATTGAATGTTACTTTGGATGGCAATGTAAATACACCTAGGCCTGTAGTAGAATTTGAGAATAGAACGCAGTTTTTAATCAAGTTATATCATACTTCAACTGAAGATATCAAAATCTAAGCTTTTCAGAACTGACACCCATCTGTCGGACGTGGATTTATTTGTTCTTTTGATTTCTAATCGGTTTGTACAATGCACCGAATAATAGTCACACTAGAAATTGTGGCCGACTATCAAGAAAATTACCGTCCTTTGATATATTGAGATTATACCACAAAACACACGGATTGCTACAGAGGCTGAATGAATGAGCACATATCTCGATGATATTAGCATACAAACGATTTAAAATCTCCCTCCTATGTCGCACTCAGTATTTCGTATTTTCTGGTTTAACTATCCTAGTAGTCCACGTAAAGCAGATGGAAATTTAAATTTTCGGAAACATCAGCTTAGGATTGATTATTTCTATGACGAAATGGGTCGAACAATTAAGCAAAGAACCTTTCGTTCTCCCTGAACCATTGGGTTTAGTAATTAACTATTTGAATGCACACGTAAAATGCATCTTTGGCAATTCGTACTTGCAGGTTTGTACGATACGTAACCACTAACAGTGACATGCTTACGTTTGTTGAAGCTTCATGGATTCCTGTGCATTCAGTTTTACGTTCCTCATCAGCTTTTCGTATAAAAGTAGAACGGCCATTCCTCCCATGAAATCTCCACTACCGCTGGATGAATCACTTGTCCAAAGCTGGCTATGAGCTGGAGAGCATGTAAAACCAAGGCTGATGTGATATCGGTGGAAAATTGGATGACCTACCCCATTTTAACACATGCTCATCGCGGTGCATCCTTTGATACCATCCATATAAAGGAAGCTCACAAGTTGTTCGCAGTACAGGATCGAGTGGCGCTTTCTGTCGATGTGCACCCCTATGGCCATGTTCAATCAAGGCAGGAGTTCTGATAGTAAATTGATTTTGATTACTCGTCCTCGCGGTATGTGTGGCCGCAACTTTAGATTGCCTTAGGTGTAATAATATGCTTATATAATGAGCGATTATTCGTTATAGACCCCAGAAGCAGTTTATTTACACCCATTGAAACATGTTTCTTCTAAACGAAATTTCAATGATGTGACGTGACAAAAAAGTCCAATTTGAGAACATAGAAAGTAAAAATAGTTCCCCTTTGTATGAAAGAATCCCAAGGGTGCATGTTTGCAGAACAGTATGTAATGTGAAGAGCCAGGATTGTAGGTCACAGTCTGCTCGCCACGTATGACAATTGGATGAAGTGTATCGGATCGATCAGCAAACCGGATATATTCTGCCTGCTACATTGTGATTGTCGATCAACTTGGAAATTTTCTGCCTACCTATGATCAATGTTGCGGTTTATCAGACCTCTCGTAATGATATAATAAACAGTTGAACGATTTGTCTGTGCAATCCAGAAGAAGCAAATTTGTAATTTTTAAAGAAATAACAGAAATGTAGAATTTTGACCATTACGAAGTTAGAAAACACGTGCAGAGGCTGACGGTTGTTTTGAGTGATTAACCTACTATGGACTCTACAGATCATGTAAGGCATTGACTAGTTTGAGGCCGAAGTTCCAGTCGGTCAAAAGGTACTCTGTTCGGTTAGGAGTTTAGATTTAGGGAACGATCACTGCATTTTGTAGTATTAGGTCACACCACCTTTACAATCAAATTTTATGTCATCACTTGTGTAAAGTGATGCAATCAATTGAAATGAGTTGACTGCTTCTGTACACATTCACTGGGTGTGAACAAAGGGATAAGGGACTCTTTTTCGATGGCGTGTATATGAAGGTAACATGATTTCGATGGAAGAGATGGTAATGGATAGATAATAAGAAGGGCTGATCTGAAGCCGGGTTAGAGACAGTCCCTTGACCTTCCAGTCACTGATCAATACAAATGGTGATAGAAATGTGGAATTTTCAATGAGAAGTCTTGAAAGTGACGAATAAACGAGAGGTGTTTTTATTTTCAGGTGAAATATTATGCTGTATACGGGCACCAAGTTACAGATTCGATTTCCCCTGTACAAATCACAGATCACGAGCTCACAGGTTCTGGACGTTT